TTACTCTACATTTGGATGCTTTTGGCCAATGAGAATGCCTCTGTACTCTTTGCGAGGAAGGTGGATTCTTTAAAAGAAATAAAGTATGTGGACATTGTGCTGTTGATGGCTCATGTAAGGCACAAAAAATTGTAGATGAGGGATGACTCGTCATGAGTTGGAGAATGTTTTGAAATCAGCCATTGTAGTCTGAATTTTGCAGTTCACTTTTAATTTGCTAATATTCAAAGTTTTAGTGAAAAAACCCTGTTTGTGACCGAAGCCTCTTAAATTTCATAAAAGTTAGATTAAGATTTATTTTGTGTTTGTTTATAATTTGCTTTCTATCTACTATAAACTGAGGCGATTTAAGTTTATATCTATTATATTTAAGGTGAGGATATTTAAATATATATTTTTTTAATTCTTTGTTTTTGTAGTGGATATTTCCACTGGTTTTAATGACAATATACAGATATCTAATGCAGAAGAATTAAACAATTTAAACAGAACGTGCATTTATATCATACATACATCATTCTTGGTTAATGGACATACTCGTTTTGTCCTGGCACTATAGTGCCCTGAGGGTACCCCCACCCTCAGGGTCCCCCTTTCCTATGGACGCTGGCATCTTCTCACTGTGATTTTCACAGTGAGAAACGTGGAAGCCCTCTAGCGGCCTTCAATGAGACAGCCACTAGAGGCTGGATTAACCCTAACATTAAACATAGCAGTTTCTCTGAAACTGCTATGTTTATAGAAAAAAGAGTTAACCCTAGATGGACCAGGCACCCAGACCACCTCATTAAGATGAAGTGGTCTGGGTGCCTATAGTGGTTGTTTAAGCGCCCTAGCAGCTCGAGGTTATTTAAATATTAAGCTTTTAAAAGTAATGCACATTTTGGGTTTAATAATGTAATAATTTCTGCCTGTTTTATTTTAAAGTACACAACATTGAGACTGTGCCGTGGCCTTTTGAAGAAAGGGGCTTATGATAGTAGATAATTGAAAAACCAGCTATTCATTATTATTTGATAACTGTGCAGCACCCCCTGCTGGCTGAATGGAAGTGAGTACATTTGCATAATTGTAGTATGCAAATGAGGACAACCAAATAAGTAGTTAAATATATATATTATTCCTTTTTAGTGTGTTTGAAATGTTATTCGCATTAAATAGTCCATGTATTAAACAAATATGCTTGTTGTCTAATGTTCTATAAATTTGTATTTTAAATGTTTGTCACTACATGCTTATGGATTAGTCCCGAAAGGCTAGTCCTTGTCCAAAAATAAAGAATGTGTGTTAGTTCCTTTTGGAACTGTGTGCCCTGTGTGGATTTGTTCATAGTGCTTAGTAACAGAGTCTTTGGACCTGTTGGCTGGTCCATGTAGTCCAGGACAAGTGGAAAAGAGCTAGACCTGAGAGCCTGCAAGTGCTTTGTACAGGCAGAGGTGTGGATGTAGAGCTGCAGAGGAGAAGATACCTGCCTGGAAGGAGAGAGGTGCAGCCTGGTCAGATGGAAGAGCTCTAGAGAGACCCCAGTCTGTAAGCGCACCAGAGTCCCCTTTGGCAGCTAGGAAGCATACCGGGTGGAGGTACTTGGTCAGAGTACGGGAACTCTGTCACAGAGATGATGTAAAAATCTTTCTGTACCAAATAAAAATGTACAGAATCTTTTCAATAACGAAACCACCAAGTATTTATTTGAAGATTTGGTCTCCTTGGATGACAAAGTTCTCCCTGAGGGCCCGATCTTTACCTTTTATTATGGTCTTTTCTTGCTCTGAGGGTAGACCTTGTGGTTTGATAGCCTGATGCAGGTTTCCCTCATCTTTCCATTTTATTCTGAACTCCCCTGTCCCCTTTTTTTCTCTCTGTTCTTTGGTTACTTTCTTTCATCACTTGTCATGGCCACGCTTGCCTGGGGGTCCCCCGCCGCGTTTCCGTCTACTCCTGAAGCGGTCCCTCTGCGCTGCATGCCCAGGACTCCGACGGGTCCGACCGCAAGGATAGACGTCCGGCATCCCTCTCAATCATGGACGCGGAGTCGCTGCTCTCCACGCCATGCCGCAACCTGTGGGAAGCTCTAGCCGAATACACATGTAATCTGCACTCACTCTAGGTCCGAGCGTGCGCGCCTGGCAGCTGGCCTCTTAAAGGGACCGAACACCTGAAACATCTTAAAGGGGTAATCACTGTTTAACCATGATATGTGAAAGGTGGATACCTCTCCCCTATATAAACCCAGCTAACCTCTACCTCATTGCTCAGTTATACTATGCTCTTCAGTATATACACTTCTGTAAATCCTGTCTTATCAAGCCCTTATCCTATCTGCCTGTTACACCAGTCCTTAACCTGCGCTGCCTGCCCTTGACCTTGGCTTACACTGACTACGAGACTGTCTTATCCTCAATTGGTACCTTGCTTTTGGCTCACTACTGCCCCCTGGGCCCCACCTGTCAAAAACCCAACATCATTTCTAGCATTGCATTACTTATTTGCCCAATGCTCAGCTTTAGCCATTCATCAGGACATGTATTCCTACATGATTCCTTCATCGTTTTCTTGTTTGATCAATGCTGTTAAATAGAACGTGAAAAACAAACAAACAAACAAACCTTTAATTACAATAAAAAGTGTACAGCTTTCTAAAAAGGTTTATGACTTGATAGAGATTTCGTTCCAGTCTGCAAATTGTTGGTAATGCCGTCTTCCAGCTGGAGGAATGAGCACACAGGGCTTGTACACTTGTCCATTTTGGCTGCTTTTTGTATCAGAAGTGGACGACGACCAGGAATCTAGCACCAGCAATAATTTGATTGCCGGACACGTCGACATTTCAAGAAAATTAACATTACTGGCTTTTCTGCAATACTAGCGCTAAAAAGTTGCAATTGTCCAATTACAGTAATGATATCAGAACTAGTTTATATAAAGTCTTGTCCTGGGACCTAATGTGTTCCAAGTCTATAACAATCAGATTAAGTTATGAAAAATGGTCATAAAAGATTCTCCTCAATATGTTATAAACAGAGGCGGATGCAGGAATTTAAATAAATATTAACGTTTTAACATTTAGGGTACGTTTCACATAATAACAAGAGGAAAAGGAAACCTGTCCTGTTTATTTCTTCTCAATGACCTGCATATATCAAACCATCTCTGGCAACTGTCCTGTGCCATACATTTCTAGGGGTGCAATAAAGATTACACTCAGAAATCTCAGTTATTGAATGTGGTACTTCACGCATGCAATCCTTATTAGATATTACAGAATATGTTCTGTAATTAATTAAGTGGGAAAAATCTTGGACAATCATTAAATACTGAGGTCGCTCAGACCATACATTAAATTAACAACTAACTGAACCCTGGGGGCTTGTGGGGGGATAGTCTATGTAGTTGATATGATTGCACATTATAATTCCAGGATTACTAAAAGATCTTTGTTAGCGTTGTTTATATATATATATATACATATATATATATATATATATAAAAACAACACTGTAATTATGCATGACAACCCTATCACCCCTGCGCAGGACGTACAGAACACGGCATCTTATAGCAGTATAGGGCACACACATTACTGGATAACTAATATATTGCATGACGTAGGACTGGAGCTACAACAAGACAAGATATTATCCACATGGCTGACCGCTAAGTCTGCCCATGAGAATCTGACACTAGGGTGCATTCTAATAGGAAACAGGAGGATACCCAAATTAGATTTCACTAATTCTAAAACACTTTTAAAAACTGAGAAGTGAACATTCTGTTAAAGTTGTCCTTTAAAATTGTAACCGCGGCTGGTTCCCTTATTTACCACTATGACTTCTTAAAGCATAGAACTTGGTAGGGATAACATACAGATATCTTAGCCATAATTTTATATAGCTAGTAAGAGATCCTCTATTATAAAATATATAAATAATTGAGAATACAATATAAAATAAGGATTGTCTTGGAAACAATAAAGTTTTGTCTTTTTGATATTTATTATATAAAAATATAAATATAGAAATATAAAATCCATTATAGCAGCGTTTATAAGATTAAACAAAATGCTTGCAAATATAATTAATAGGTTAACATACCCTTCTGAACATGTCATCATGTCAGCCTCTCTCTGTCATTTTAAGATGGAGCAGCGTCTGTCTCCAAGTCTCTCCTCTGTGTTGTAACATTTTAAAAGTACACCTATTTATACCTTAGGTGTCTCCATTTTAGGGTTACCGTAGTTCATATATGAAAAAGTAACACTTCTTTTACTTTATTCCTTTTAGGACCTCCCTTAATTTGGCAAATTTACAAGGCCATAACTAAAGGGTGCATACGTCATGGAAATTTTCCTGACTTAGTTCAAGATGGCATCTTAAAGTCTGAACATCTTTATCTACTTAGGGTTACCACAGTATATTGTGTACTGAAAGAGTCATAGGATAGCCTTGAAGCTTGTTTATGTTATATTATTGTTGTTGTAATTCGTCTGGGACAAAATGGCGCAAACATATTATGCATTAAAGGTAGGTAAGAGATTATTGCTTAAAGAAACAGTTATGTAGCCCATGGAGCAGCGTAGCTAAGGGGAGTGGGCCTTGACATTGCCAGGAGACAGGCATCTAAGGGTCAGTGGTTAGGGATTGCTCTAAGGAAATGGAGTGGAGTGGAGTTATAAGAGGAGTATAAGTAGTGGCCATTTTAGATCTAGGGATCACTTTAATCTAAGTTGCACTTACATGTTGTTATGGCAGGATTTGTGTGGCTTTTTCTTTTGTCTCCTCTTCAGGTTGTCAGCAAGATGGAAGATTGGCTGGAAGGAGTCTGGGCAGCAGTGCAGGAGAGGGGTGTCGAGTGGCTGAGGGATCGCCTTGGAGATGCTTTGCCGTCTGGATCAGGAAGATCCCTGGGTCAGAGGCCGGTCAGGAGGACAAGGCCCACGCAGATATTGAGCCCCAGCGCAGTTCTGGGTTCCCGGTGTCCAAGGAGCCCTTCTGGAGGTCCCGATGGCGGCGGTGAGATTAGCGGTGGGAAGGCCGCAAGTGGAGGAGGTCGCAGGAGGTGTCGCAGTGCAGCTGCACGAACACGTCGTCAGGCGAGACTGGAGTTGCAGGCTGCTGGTTCGGGAACCGAATCCGAAACTGCCGAACGTTCCGGGAGTGAATGTGGAGGTAGGAGAACTGGTGAAAGGGCTGAAACTGCTGAACGTTCAGGAGACGAATGTGGAGGTAGGAGAACTGGCGAATGGGCTGAAACTACTGAACGTTCGGGAGACGAACATGGAGGTACTGATACTGCCGACCGTTCGTTTCCCGAACGGGGAGGTAAGAAAACTTCCAAACATTCGGGAGTTGAACGGGGAGGTAGCCATACTGCCGGCCGTTCGTCTGCCCGAACAGGGAGGCATAAAAACTGCCGAACGTTCAGTTTTTGTGTCCTCTATTACAGGGAATGAAGGAGAAGTGTCTGCTGGTGACAGGAATCCGGAAAAAAATGGCCATTACAGGCAGGGTCCAGCGGAATAAGTATCAGTACCTCCATGTTCGTCTCCCGAACGTTCAGTAGTTTCAGCCCATTCGCTTGACAGCAGGTCCTGGGAACGCTGGAAGTGCTGTTGGCGAAGCTGGGAAAGCTGCGGCCCATCGCCCGGGTGAGTCGACCTCTGACGCCATTGCCCCTCCAGTTGCTGGGCCACGGGTTACCCTGGTGGTGGGTCCCGGTGTTAGCATGTTTGGTGACGGCAGGGTGGCAGGGGGCAGGCGAGGAACTGCAAGGGCATGGAGCGGACCAGAAGGGTATAGCGATACACAACGCCCCAGAGTCTCCCCAGTCAGCGTGCGGTAGCGCAGCGCTTCCCCAGGGTCTCCCATACAACAGGGGCGGGGACGACAATGGGCGGGTCAGGTCGTCAGGGAAGGATCAGATGGGAGTGACAGCGAGGGACAGCGCAGAGGGACAGCGCAGAGGGTTGGCACCATCGAAGAGGATAGCGCGCAGGGCTCAAGCGAAGGGCGCATGGGGCGCAAGGAGGCAACGGTCGCGTAGCAGCCATCGGAGGGTGACTGACGTAGACAACAGGGTTCCCTGCGGGGTAGAGCACACCCGGGGGCGGCATAGGGTGCCCCCTGTCAGGACGCGGGGCTAGAGGCAGCGGGAAGATAGTTCCATGAGTGGTAGTTCCTCGGAGAGAAACAGGGCACGGGCTGCTGCGCAGGCTCGCGGCCTTCGGGGACAGACGGCTAGTGGGGAGATGGGTTACAGTTCCCAGGAGGAGAGGGGGTGGTGCGGGGTTTCCATGGCCAGCCTACCCAGGATGTCTTCTCCTTGCAGGTCTCGAAGACGGTCACCCTCGGTGAGGGAGAGATCCCACGCGTTGAGGACATCAGGACGGTCGCCAGCAGGCAAGGCGGACCCAGTTGCCGGACAGGCGTCTTCAAGGTCGACCGCGGATTGGATGAGACCCAGTGCTGCGGGAATACGGGCCGGAGCAGTGGAACGCTTGCGGCAGGACATCCACAGTCGGTCGGCAACCCCACGGCCTTCGGTGGCAAGGGTTGCGAAAGGTGACACATTGTCTTTGCAGCAGTCAGGGGAGCTTTTAGAAGGCATCAAGCAGTTAATTGACTCTTGGGGTGTAGGGAAAAGAAGGGACGGGATTGCAGTCAGGTATGGGCTCAGCTGGGGGAGGTCACTGGGTCAAGCCCCATGGTGGTTTTCCGTGGCCGTGGGCAGCATGGTCGGGAACGGGGGTATGACCCCCGCGGTAGAGGCACCTGGATTGGCGAGCGAGAGGGACAATTTACTTGGGGGTGTCCCGGAGGCCACGCGGCAGAATGTACATGTTTCTTTCGCGGGCCTGTTGGGCTGTCATCTAAAACTAGAGGTGAAGGAGAGGATCTGGAAAGGGGAGTTCCTTGAGCTCTTTTTGCCTCTCCCCCTTGAGGACTACATTGACCTCAAGGAGGAGGATAAAAAGGATGCTAACAAGGAAGAGGAGGAAAAGAAACGACGGTATAGGAAGATCCCTAAGACGTTTGGGAATTGGTTGAGGGCGTTCTGCATCTTGGCCAGCGTGATGGGTGAAAAGGCGGCGGAGCGCTGTTCACAGCTCTTCTGCTACCTGGATGGCTTTTGGGAAGAGTATCGCACGTACGGGGGTCTGGCATGGTAGTGATATGACGAGTAGTGTCGTCAGCGCCTGGCGGCTAATCCGGGGATGCGGTGGGACCAAATGGACCTACCACTCTGGATAAAACTTATGATGGCGCAGAAGGCGTCTCCTTTTCAGCCGGGGGCCGGCACGGGCGCTTCCAATGCCGTGTCGGCCAACCAAAAACGGGGCTATTGTTATTATTGCTCTATAACGAGGGGCCGTTCAAGTGGAGGGCCACGTGCCGCTTCAAGCATGAGTGCTCCAGGTGTGGAGGCACCCACGGACTCCACAGGTGCTTTAAAAAAGGTAAGACAGCTCTCGCAGCAGGGGTGCCCGGAGGTTCGGCCACGTCCCCTGCAACTGGTGGCTAAGCCGCTACGCTAACTGGGAGGATGCGTTGTTGCTCAAGGAGGGGTTTACTAAAGGGTTTGTGATTCCATTTCGGGAACAGGTGGTGGTTCATCATCTTTGCAATTTGAAGTCGGTGGGGGAAATACCGGGGGTGGTCAGGGAGAAGTTGCTTAAGGAGGTACAGTTGGACAGGGTGGCGGGGCCATTCAGGGAACCCCCTCTACCTAACTTGAGGGTATCACTGCTAGGGGTGGTACCCAAGAAGGATCCGGGTAAGTACCGCTTGATACATCACCTGTCCTACCCCAAGGGGTCGTCGGTTAACGACGACATTGACAAGGCCCTTTGTTCGGTGTCGTACGCTTCTTTCAACCAGGCGGTGAATCTGGTGCAACGAGCGGGCCGTGGGGCATTGTTGGCAAAGGCGGACGTGGAGGCGGCTTTTCGCCTTTTGCCAATTCACCTGAAGGGCCATCACTTGCTGGGATGTCACTTAGACGGTGAGTATTACGTGGATCTATGCTTACCCATGGGGTGCTCTATATCGTGCGCATACTTTGAGAAATTTTGCACGTTTCTGGAATGGGTGGTGAAACTGGAAGCGGGCACTAAGATGTTGGTTCATTACCTGGATGATTTCCTATGTGTCGGGCCTCCCAAATCGGAGGAATGCCGCATGAGACTGAGGACATTGGAATGGGTGGCGCACGTTTTTGGAATCCCCTTGGCGGGTGACAAAACGGTGGGGCCTACGACATGCTTGAGTTTCTTGGGCTTGGAGATAGACTCGATCAAAGGGGAGTGTAGGCTGCCACAGGACAAGTTGCTGGCACTCCGGAAGGCAGTGGCGGAGGTGCGGGTAGCTAAGAAGGTCACGCTCCGGGTGCTTCAGACTCTGCTGGGTCGGCTTAATTTCGCCTGTTGGGTGATTTCGGCCGGGAGGGTCTTTAACAGATTCCTTATTCGGTTCTCAGCGGCTATGAAGGCCGATCTGGATGTTTGGGGGGAATTCTTAAGGGATTTTAATGGGAAGGTGTTCTTTCGGGAGCCGGCGGCATCTTCCCTGGATCTGGTGCTGTTTACGAATGCGTCGGGGAGAGGATCGGTTTTCGGGGCTTACTTCTTGGGTCAATGGTGCGCGGGAACTTGGTCAGCGGTGTGGAAGGCCAGCCCGCTGATCCGTAACTTGGCATTCTTGGAGTTGTTTCCGTTAGTCGTAGCATTGTCCCTATGGGGTCCACAGTTGAGGGATAAGCAGGTTGTATTCTTTTCGGACAATATGGCGGTGGTAGATGCAGTAAACGGGCGTTCAGTGTCCTCTATCCTGGTGGCGCGGCTTTTTCGACGTTTTGTCTTGTTCTGTATGCGTTTTCATATTGTTTTTCGGGCACGCCACGTGCCTGGACTGTTGAATGTTATTGCTGATGCGTTATCTCGTTCGCAGTGGGAGAGGCTCTGGCAGGTCGCTTCTGGCGCGCGAGCGGAAGGGATGTCTTGCCCAGATGAGATGTGGTGGCTCGGGACATTATGCTTGGCGGACTGATCAGGGACTCCCTGGCACCCACTACCAAGGCGTACAGTAAGGAATGGGACGGGCTGGTGCAGCATACGGGGGGGTCAGCTCTCAAAGGAGGCCCGGTTGGACGCAATGTTGTGGCTCTTGTGTAGGTCATTCACCTCAGGGCCTTGGCACCGGTAGTCGGGCGTAAGCTAGCAGCGTTAGCCTTTTTGTTCAAGTTTAATGCATGGGAGGATGTCACGAAACATTTTCTCGTTAAGCAGGCATTGAAAGTTTTCAGGTGGGGTAAGGTGTCGGTGGATTCCAGGAGGCCGGTTTCGTTTGAGTTGCTTCAGTGGCTAGTCCGGGTGCTGCCCGAGGTGTGTTTTTCGGGGTACGAAGTTACACTGTTCTCCATGGTTTTTAGTTTTGCTTTTTTGAGGGAATTTCGTGACAGCGAACTGGTCAGCAGCAATCGCCAAGGGGCCAGAGGGCTCCAGGCGGTGGATGTGGAGGTGTGGAGTAACAGGGTAGAGATCAACTTGAGGTGGTCCAAAATGGATGTACTGGGAAAAGGGACGTTGGTGGGAAAACGTGTCCAGTTAGGTGCGCAGCGGCCTTCCAGGAGGAGCGGGCAAAGTCCGGGGGTTCATATTTTAAGCATGAGGACGGCTCTTCGCTATCGAAGTTCCAGTTCCTCAGAGTTTTTCAGAAGGCGTTGGTAAGGTTGGGAGTGGACCCGGGCCAATCGGGACTCATTCCTTTAGGATTGGCGCAGCTACTGAAGCGGCAAGACTGGGCCTGGGGGATGAGCGGGTGAAAAAGATTGGCAGGTGGGAGTCAGTGAGGTTCAGATCTTACGTCAGGCCTGACAAGTTGGCATAAATCCTAAGGGTGGTTGATGGGGAATTTTAACGGTTGTTTCGAAGTTTCGTAGTTGTTCTATGTTTGCATTATGTCTTACAGGTCGGATGGCATGGGTGGTCGGCCACTCATACATATACTGGGTGCATCGGAGAGCTGCAGTTCGACATCGTGGTCTACAGCTGTGCTTTCCAAGTTCCGTGGTTCAGCTTCGGTGGTTTGGTTACCGGGGTTGGGGTTGGAATGCAATTTTTGTTGAAATGTTTTGCAAAATTCTTTTGGGACAGGTTCCGGACATAGTGGTGCTTCACGCAGGGGTGGGGTTGTTACCTCAAAAGGTATTGGCTGAGTGTATGAATAGGGATGTGGACAAGCTGAGGGAGTTGGTGCCGGGGGTTATGGTCGTATGGTTGGAAATGGTTCAGAGGTTTTACTGGCGTCACGCGCGGAATCCCTCCGCAGTGGCAAAAATTAAGGGAAAGATCAATAAGGTGATGGCAGCGTATGTGAAGTGGTTTGGAGGGGTTGTAAGTTGGCACAGGGAGTTGGAGTACATGCTTGCAGGTTATTATAGGCGCGATGGGGTTCATCTCTCCGAAATGGACTTGGACTTTCTATTGTTGGGTTTTCAGGAGGGCCTCCAGAGAGCTATCTTTTCCCTGGGGGGTGTGCTCAGGAGCTTGAGGAGTCAAGCTCTAAGCTGTGCGGGGGATGGAGAGTAAAGTTGGGGGGAGAAAAGAGTAAAATGGGGAAAAAGTTTGGAGTTCAGGGCTAATAGGTGGGTCTTTGGACTGGTTTGGTAGGTTCGAGCTCGTAGGTAGCTCCGAACCGGGGTGTGTAAGGGTGTCTCGGTATGCCCCTACACTTGTGGTGCCCTTTGGTGGCAATGGATGGTGCCCTTTGGTGGCAATGGTCATGTTTCAATGTTAAGTTAAATGTTACAATGTTTGGGTATTATGTAATGTGGGAGTGGGTCATTGTCAGGGGGTTAAAATTGTAAAATGCAGAATGGTAATTGTGCAGGCCAACGTTGGCCTGCTGTTGACAATGACCTTTATATTTTATGTTAAGAATCAATAAAGCTGTGATATAAATTTTGCCAAAATTATGGTGTCAGTGTTTTATTGGTAAATGGGTAATGGTGGGGTTTATGCATGTGCCGACAAGGCGACCGTGCACATGTCATGAAAAACAATATGTTCCATTTCTAACACCTTATCAGTTTGCAATATCTCTTAAAGACAAAGTACACAGTTTAAGAAATACAACATTTCATTCTAAAACTTGTAATATTTCCATTTGCCCATAACAAAATTGAGGCAAATTTGGTGTGTCAACAGAAGAACATATCAAGGTGGCGTTCTTCAAGGCGGCAAAAAAAAGAAAGTTGGGTTAAGCGGGTATGGGAACTGTACCCATAAAGTACTCCAACATTTTTTTGCCGATATCCTGCTTTCTCTCGTTCTCTTTATCTCTCCTATGGTTCCTATGTTTTTTTCCTATAGTTTCACAGAACGGGACTCACCCTGTTTGAAGTGATATCAATCCATCAAATGATAAATACATGGAGTTAACACTTAATGCATTAAGCACTGATTACTCATGATTTTATGAGTAGAATTTGGTATTGTCACGGTAGCAGAGCTGGAACATGGGAATCCTTACTAAAGTCATTTTATACTGAATTGGTTTCTCACAAGTCCGAAAGCTCTGGTTTCTTTATCAGGGACTCCATCTTTAAAATATCCTTTATTTATTGTAAAAAATGGTGTGTACATAACATTTTAGAACAAAATGTCACATTAACCATTGAAAACCTAACATGTCTAGTCCTCTCTTCGTGTACGAAAGAGTTAGAACACTTAGATGAGGCTGGTCCTAGCTAAGTCCGTCAAAATACACTCTGATTTTAGATTCCCAAAGTTAAATCCCCAACCAGCCAATCATGTAGTAGCAAGTCAATGCACTAAAAAAAAGTAGAATATTACATGGTCAAGAGGTTGACTTGATGTTCGGATCAAACATCATAATGGATGACTAAACATAATCGAAGTAACTCTGACCTCGGAATGGTTGTTGGTGACTGAAGTTCTCAGAAGCTGTTGATCTCCTGGGATTTTCATGAACGACAACTCTAAGAAATTACAGAAACAGGTGTAAAAATAAAAAAAATATCCAGTGAGCATCAGTTCACTGCAAAGGGAAAAAACTGGAAAGAACCCACATCTCAGTTTCTGTCCCTTGGTACCAGTTGGTTATTATCTAAATACCACTGTCTACCACTTTGATTGACAATGTGCATCTCTTTATGGCCACAGTCTGCCCTTCTTCTAACGTCCAGCTGGATATAGTAATCCATGACACAGAACGTCATCACATGGTTTCATAATCACAATCATCACATTCTGCAACGCTTTACAGTCATAGAAAGGGGATAATTGACAACAAGCAGTTAACATATAGATATTAACTGTCAAAATACACGCCAGCTCTTACCTGCCCAGCACTCGCGTGCCATCCTGAGAGCTGATCTTTTGGTGCCCGCAGCTCTATCCAGCTATTTACCTCATTTCTCCTGTGGCTTTGACTCTGTTGTCTGGGGCCGGGCTCAGCTTGGGTGCTGCCACATTGACACCAGTGCAGTGTGTAGAGGGGATCAGGGAGGGAGGCTTACAGAGACAGAGGAGAGGGATGAGGAATAGTCAAGATGGAGCCCAGTCTCCTTCCCTCCTTTAGTCTTTGGTGGCTCATCTGCAAGGGGGTGGAGGACAAATACATAACCTCCTCTCCCTATAAATAGCCAAGCAGTGCACAACATGGTTGTTCTGGTTCTTGCTCTAGTCTCCTGATGTCCTGTTCCTTGTTCCTGGTTCCTGATCCTGGCTCTTGATCCTGATCCTGGTCCTTGTTCCTGATCTTGGTTCTTGTTCCAATACTGAGTTCTTGTTCCTGATTCTTGTTCATAGTTTCTGGTCCCTGATTTCTGGTTCCTGGTTCCCAGTAATACTTCTCGGCATTTGACCTCTGGTTTTGACCCTGACTGCCTTCCGGTCCTGACATTTGGCTTCTGACATCTTGCTCTCTATTTGTTGATCTCCTGGCTTCTGACCTTCGGCCTGACATTGCTCCTTTGCTGTCAGCCCTGACCATCGGGTCACCAGACACCACTTCCTACCTGCTCCTTTCTGGCTTGTTTGCTTCCACTGTAAATAAAGGCACCCATGTTCTCATAGATCTCCCATATTCCTGTATCACTCTCAGGTACCTGGGAAGGTTGTGTTAGCAAGGGTTTGCCGTTCCACTGCAACTAAGTTCCTCTTAAAACAAACCAACCAGTAGGTTGTCACATCAACAGAAACCACAGGGGTCGAAGGCCCTGCTCAAATGAGCTTACAGTCTATGAATCATGACAATAAGGTCAGTGTATTCAACAGATCAATATCACCCAGAGTACATTCTGGATTGTGCGAAATACTAGATTTATGCTTACAGGTATATGTGTAGTCAGTGTGGAACAGAATCTCGATGGAATATTGCAAGCACCTTGCAGAATTCTTTTCACAAACAACTGAGGGGTTTCTGACGCTGAAGCGGGTCTTACTATGCACTGGAAAGGTAAGGTTGCCCCAAGTTGTCACTGAATATATGTGCGCTATGAGTCTCTTCTTAAAGAGTGCAAACTTACGGGTCCTCACCCTAATAAGGTCTATAGTGGCTATTACCACTGATACAAGCCTTTGTGGCACTCATTGTTTGTAATTCTTACCCGCCTTTTATATCTCTACTATTTATCCCCTTAAGGACATGACTGGAAAAAAAGGGAACCATGACAGAATATTACCGTCATGTGTCCTTAAGGGGTTAAAGGGTTTCGATTTTGGGGATCCCCTCTATATCAGTAAAACATGCTCGGATGCAATGAATCATTTCTATTAGTAAACATTAACTATTAGTAGTTATTTAGTAGTTGTATAGACATGCATTATACATTCTATTTATGGAACGAGTTAATGCTTTGATAATTCTTCATTCCTTCCTTCTTAGGTAATCTGCCTTCATGTAAATTTACATTTTCCTAATTAAAACAAATATTCACATTACTATATCATTATGTACACAAACAGTTAAAAAAATAATAATTAATTTTGGTCTGCAGGCATCGTACTGGCCCAATGGACATCTCTTCTGAAAATTCCTCATTCTCTTTAAAGAATAAAATGAGTGAATGTCACATTGAAGGATAAATGATCACAGGAAGGGCACGCTCTGGCACACTCTGTGGGATCATTTACAATAGGCGACCCTGGAACTTGCATCATCATATGAGCTGTGTAATTATGTGGAGTACCCGTGAACATTATTATCCTGATAGAATTTACACAAAAAAATTAATATTTTAGCAACATCTCTCAAAACCTATTTACAGGATCATCTCACTAATGACGCGCTTATTGAAACATGGACGCCGATGAAACCTAGTCAGGCCTGGGAAGGAGAGTGTTAATGATCGGTGATTGAATGCTGGATTCGCAAGCTGTAAGCAGCTTTAGTGTCTACTACCACAGCCCTAATTTAAAATTCATAAATGCTAATCCTCCATAATTTACGGTTTAAAAAGCAGTCCCACTCACGAGCCCCGTGGCTACAGCTCTGTCAGAGTAATTATACCGCCAAGCAGAAATTGGACTACTAACTGAGACTTTAAACAGGGACGAAAATCCTGCTTGCTGGCAGCTTACCCAATTATTCCAAATAAGCAAACAGATTAGTGAGTAATTTTCCAGTTAAATGTGGTGAGTGGTGCCAGAATGATGTGTTAAATATTCAGAAGTAAATAGATTAAAGATGAAATGTTCTGTTATTTTTTTCAAGCTTAATTTAATGTGTCTACCGAAAGTTTGTATTCTGCTTTTATTAAAGTGTAACGGTATAGCGTTTGATAAAGAGGCGAATCGCGTCTTCCTACCAGAGGTTATACTGCGGGCGCATTACAGACAAACTCGAGTCTCAAATACAAGTTGTTTTTAATGGAATCGCATTTTGTATCCTTCACAAATATATATTTCAAAAGTTTACATATCACGAAAGTACTCGAGATGGCTTTCTTTATGCAGAATTTTCCTTGATGCTCAGGGCGACAAATGTGACGTGCGCTAACTCTTATGAGTATTTTGAGAGCAGGCCTTTGTTGTAAAATGCAACATGAAATATTGGGGCTTCCCTGGTATTTTCTTCCAATTACTGCTTTGAGGATTAGGGGGTTAATGTCACAGAACGGCGTCCCATAGAATAAACAACAGCATGACAAACACGTCA